GTGGACTGGGTCAGCAACTGATTTCAGGACTTTAATGTAGCAGGGTAGCAGGTTATTTAAACGAGGTTTTGGGATTTAGTGATGTTCTGATCATAGAAGATCAGAAATGTAACCTCCATGCGCTGAAGAGTCACGTTCTGATAGAAGACTATGTTCTGAACCATGTTTGCAACTTCTGACTGCACTTGCATGGAGGCTGAAGGGTCATGTTCTGATTGAAGACTGTATTCAGAACCATGTTTTCAACTTCTGACTGCACTTGCGTGGAGGCTGACACAGAAGTTCTGGGGTATCACATTCTCTTAACACTTAGAAAAATTCCCCAAATGTTTAGAAACTGATTTTTTCAAAGTAATTTCTGACTTCTGATTTTGGAAAACTAGTTTCATGTCTTGATGAAATATAATTGTTGAAACTTGATTTTTGATTTAAAAGTCAAAGTTTTACCTTTTCAGTGTGCTTTTGACCATTTTGCCCGTGTGAGTGATTTTCTTGAAAAGTTGTAATTCAAGACTTGGAACTTGATGGAAGCAAAACTGAGAGTCCATGATGATCCTCGAGAAATGAGAGGGAAAATTTTGGGGTACAACATGATGCTTGTACTTTTATACTTTTTCTCTAACACTTTGTTTGAGTATTTATATTATGTGGGTGCAAATTCCATTCTATCAAGAGTGAGGTAATATTGTTCCAAGTTTCTCCTTGAAAGTAAGATTTTCTTAGTACATGTTTAGTTGATGAAAAATGTTTGCTATGTTCTCAAATGATGAAAACCATGAATGTTCATTTCCAAAAAAAATTGATTGATAATCATTGCGTGTTTTCAATGTATATGTTTATAGTGACTTCATGTATTAATTCTTTTACATTTGTATAAGTTTATTCTTGTATGTACAAGTATGTGTTTCTATTATTATTTCTTACATTTATGCATGAGTTGAATGTAAGCATGTTAATTGCATGTACGGTTCATGTTGTAGTTACGTCACGTTTTATGGCAACATTTTATTTTTGGATTGAGTAGTCACATATCCTTGTCACTATGCTAGGCACATGCGTGTGCGACATCAGGAGTTCAATTGTATTGTGTTACAAGATCGTGATACTATAGAAGCAACTTAACTAGCTTGCTCTTGTATCACATTCATTATTATTCATGCAATTGCATTACATGTTTGATAATTTTTTATGCTTGTTATCTATTATTTTTTGCGTCATTACATATATATAGGAATATGTACTTGTATGCTCTTCTTTGCAAAAATGCCTATGTGTGATATATTAGTATTGGCATTAGAATATGATACTTCTCACGATATGTCTTCTTTCTTTTTGATATTTTCAAAGGGGAGAAGAATATGCGAGATGAAGATGGGAAACACAAAGTGAGAGGGAGCCTTAGATAACTACATGAAATGCATCATTGCAAGTTTTGCCATCATCAAAAAGGGGGAGTTTGTGAGTGCAACTTCACTATTAGATGTTTTGCATGATGCCAAAACTCAGAAAACTAGCATTTCAGTATGATGGACGGTATCCTTATGTCTTGTGGCACCCCTTTGCATTATAGGTCTTAGGAATATTCAAAAAGAATATTTAAATTGATCCAAATCATTGAAAAACCATTTTTGCATAGTTTTTCGTTGCAAATGTTAATACACTCGAGTTTCAGGTCAACACATGTAACTCATTTTTAAAGCCTATAGCTTCTGTAAGTCTCAGGTCGACACATGCATCCATACAGGTCGACACATACTAAAAGAATTCTGAAATTGCAGGAATTTCCATTTTATGTGTCGACACATCCGTTTTTCAGATTGACACATCTACTAGCGTATTTAAGCATGTAGCCTCTGAGTTGTTCAGGTTGACACATGACATTATTTCAGGTCGACACGTACGACCTAAACAAAAAGTATGTGTTGACACATACGAGTTTGAGTTCGTCACATCCTGTTTGATTCAGTCATATTTTAACTTCTTTTTTATTCCAAATTTTCCCTTATTGCCCTAATTTTCCTACAACTATAAATACTCATTCATGCATCATTCATAACTTGATGATACTATAAAATTAGCCTACTTTTTCTCTTCATCTTCAACCTTCCAATCTATGCATACACACTAACATTACATTGTGATGATATTCCATCGAGGTGCCATCTAGACGAAGAATTGAAGATTTCCAATTGATTTGGGTTGAGTTCTTGTAGAGGTCTTCATTCGGAAAAACCATTGGGTTTGTCCTCCAAAATCATTTGTTGAATTAGGGGTTTTCGTGAAAGATCATGCGAAGGATCGTCCATGTGAAAAATCCATGGGAGTGTTTGAAATATTTTCAAGGAACCTTAGAGTGGTTGAAATCTTTTTAAGGAAGTAGAAAAAATTGGATAATAGAATCAGTGATCTTGTGTTGATAGTTTGCAATCGGATTTACTCGAGTGAAAAATCCCTTGGAGTGTTTGAAATTTTGCAAGAAACCTTGGGGTGTTTGGAATCCTTTTAAGAAAGTAGCTTAAGCGGCGAATAGGTTACATCTATCGGTCCTGGTCTTGTTGAAGATCAAAAGAAGAGAAGGGGTTGAATCAACATTAAACAGTTATGGTTTGTAGTATTTCTCTTGAACACTTCTCTTGTAACTATACTTTTGCAAAGTAAGAAATTATCCTAATTCCAAATTTAGAATTGGGGGGAGATGTAGTCATAGCGAGGACGATTGGTGAACTTCCTAAACAAATCCTTGTGTCTCTTTTCTTTTATTATTTTACTTGCTTTAATCTTTATACATCGATTTGTCAAATAGCATTGAGTAATTTATCGACACATAGGAATTTTCCGAAACTATTTTTTATTTTGAATTGTGTGTTGAGTTGCTTATAATCACTTTTGATTATAAGTGCTTTTTCATATCAACACAACACAAAAAAAATTTTAAAACTTTGATTGCACGTCAAGTATTTGATAAATTGTTTAGCTTGTTTAACTCAAAGGAAAATTGTTATATTCTATCTCTTACTTTAATTTACTCTCTATATGCAATGTGTTGAATGTGTTGTTTGATCAATTGATTCATATAGAATTTCTCTTTGATTATTAAAGTTTAAATTTCCTTGTTGATTAGCTTATAATCACTTTGATTGTAAGTGCTTTTGCATATCAACAAATCTCAAAGAAAATTCTAAAAAATTGATTGCGCGTCACATGTTCGATAAATTGTCATATTATGTTTTTAATATGATTTCATTATAAATAGGAAAATATTGTGTTGAATATTAAACGGTTAATTGAGATATTATCATGTTGATTGGTTTTATCATTATAATTAATTCCATATGGCTCGTGCATATCTGAGTTTCCAATAATTAGGTTCGTTTAGACTACTATGTTGATCTAGGCCAAAATTCTTCCGCTCAACATTGTTTTTCAAATAAGTTTTTAATAATATTTTAGAAAGGTAATTTTTATTTAAGGATCTATTCACCCCTCCTCTAGATTTGGTGTCGTAGTCTAACAGATGGGTGATAGCAAGGGGGACCTTTGTAGAGAATGGTGCACGGTGAATCAAATGCTCCAAAGCCAACATAATGAAATTCATACAACTTTTGGACTGAGCAAAACTGTGGTAGAACACTGATTTAAAGACAACACTCTATATGCCTAGTTGGTTCCCAATATATCCTGGGCGGGATCGAATTTCATTTTTCATGAAGCGAAGCGAGCGGAAACGACGAGGCCATATAGTTTGAAGTATGGGTGTACAATTAAGACAATTTTCGGGTTTCCATGTGCTTGTTTTATTTTTATAAAAAAATGAAGCTCAATTCTCCGATACGAATGGATGAGGTCTATGCTCATTGGAAGAGACTCTAATTTGTTGACTATGGACCGGAAAAGGAAGATACATCTAATATAACCATCACAACCGAGTTGAAAGTGATAATGGATAGATTTTTTAAAGCTGATGACTCTATGAAGTTTCACATCAAAGAACAATTAAAGAAGATCGCCTTTCCAGAAATCACTGATTTGAAACCTTCTTCGCAACCGGTAAAAACATAAGGTGCGCCTAAAAAGATGAAAAGTACACAAGCTGACAATTCAAAAAGCAGAAATGACTCAAACATATCCTCACCTTTCTTTTGTCTACTTCAGTGGTACGAAGTCGTCACTTTAATTCAGGTTCTCGCGGGACACGCCGTTCGTCGAGCGTATCACCATACTGAATTCTCTCTTGCAATATCTAGAGAATCTAAAGGTGATCAAGCTTGAGTATCATTCACCTTCACTTGACACTGAAGAAAACATAAAATTCACTCTGTTTTAGCTCAAGAACGACGATGATTTAGAGGTTATATGGGATACTCTTCTAAGGGTTCGATTGAGGTGGATGCGAAGCTTCAAAGATCGGGAGAAGATGTTATAAAAATAGTGCAACATCCTCAACTACCCGATTATAATAATATGTAATTTTAAATTTCTGTAAAACTATATATGTAATTTTGATGAATTATGTTGAATCTATGTTATGAATTATGTTGATTCCTCAGTCCCAGAGATAAATTAAGATATGTATATCCGAAATAGGTAATCAAATGACTTAGGATATGCATATGCAAAGTCAATTTAATAAAAAATGAATCATGGTGCATTCAGATATGCACATCTAAAATCTAAAAATATTTTAACTTTTTCTCCAGGAGCATGCAAAGAGAGACTAAAGTACAAAAAGAAATTCTCTAAACTAAAATCAAAGAAACTAAATAGATCCGCTTATAATCTATATATGTACCATCTTTTAACGGATAAAATATTGGGACTTAAAATAAGCCAAACTGTGTTCCTTTTGATTTGCAATAGTTCAACATACAATGACATAAACACACAACAAACACGGGACAAAACAAACACGCAATTGGACACAAGAAGTTCAAACAGACCAACCAAAACAAAAAGGATATATGAGTCCTTATAAACAATATGGAACATTTAAGTTAGAACAACTATGGGAAAACCTCAATGAAAGACTTAAAACCAAGACCATGAGTAATCTTGTAGTTACTAAAACCAGCAGAGAAAAACAACTTAGACCATTCTTTCTCATTTCTCTCTTTTCCATTAACCAACACCATCATCTCCAAATCATAGAACAATTGTGCTTCAACTGTTTCATTCTCTTCTTTTTCATTCCCCATCACTGCATCTATGATTATCACTTTTCCATTGCTCATTATTGCTTCCTTGCATTTCTTTAGTATTTTCAAACATTCATCATCGTTCCAATCATGTAATACACCCTGCACGTAATGGAATATTGAAATATAGTTAAATTGTAAACAACATTCATAAACTAAAAATAAATTGGTATATTGATCCTTAATGGTTGGTCCGTTGGTAAAAACTTGAGTTCTAAAAGTATAATCCTCTTAAAGTTTCAAATTCAAATATAATAGTGACAAGTGTGAATATTTGACCTTGAGTAAAATTGAATGAGTAGGAGGAATAGCCTCAAACATGTCCCCTCCAACAAATTTCAAGTTCTCACTTCCTTGCAATCCATCGACAACATGTGGGAGATCAAACACAACACAATCAATATTTAGAAACGACTTAGCAATATCTTTAGACATAGTTCCTATACCTCCACCAACATCAACCAAAGATTCCATCTTTTCAAACACCTCTCTACACTTCCCCATCACAACACTAGAAGCCATTCTAGTTTCACAGGCCATAGCTTCATTAAACAACTCATTATGTTTAGGGTCATGACCAGCATAGTCCCAAAACGCAACTCCATTATTTTCGGTGTGAAAAGGTGAAAGGTCATCATTTTTGTACCAATTAGAAAGTTGATACCATGGTTTACTCATGATTGGACCAAGTATAAGATGTAACAAAGATGTCATACTATAGGGATGATCCTTGAGCAATAATGTAGATGTATCATTAAGCTCATACATTACTTCTTCGACGTCATTATTTTCAATGACGTTGATGAAACCAGAATGTGTTAAAACTCGCATTAAACGATATATATCATCGGTTTTAGAAGGGTGGATTGGTAATTTAGCAATGAGTTGTGAAAGTGGGATAGGTTGACCATAGTTTTGTATGACATCTGGTATAGACAATTCAATTGCACATTTAAGGGACATTGAGTTTATGAAACTGAAAATGTGATTGAATACTTTGGTTTGAGCTTGAAGCATTTTTGTGATATGGTCTTCGCTTTGAGACCCCATTGGTTTTGATTCCTCAATTATCACTCTCCATGGTTTATTTATAAGTGGAACATTTTGTTATAAATTATTATTGAAAGAAAAAATCACAACATGTCACATGGAATTATTATGAAGAACGTTTCTTCAATTCAGAAAAACATGAAGGTGTCATATCATATACTACTTTTTAATATTTAAGCTTGAGAGGGACCAGACATATTTTATATAAAGAAAACAAATTTAGCGGGAGACATTAATGGAAAATTTGGTGAGAGATAACCTATTAAATCAATAAAATGAAAGAAAATTTTGTCGGTAGTCATTCAATAAAATACTAAACATTTTTTGTATTGGTCCTGGGTAGGTATTAAAATAAATGAGTAGTTAATTTTACGTGTGCTGAGATTAGACGCAATTAATTATAATTCTATTATAAAATTTTGGATTAAATATGTTTAAGTCCTCGTAAATATTACAATAATTAATAATTTTAGTATCTCAATTTTTTTTTTAAACAATAATTTTCTTTAAAATTTTCTATATATTTTTGGTTCTTCTTGCAACTTAACAATAGTTTTTACAACTTATTAAAAGTGGAGATGAAAATTTTGAAGAAAATCATTCTTTAAAAGAAATCTTTAGACTAAAATTAAATGTTAAGATATTTATGAGAATTCTAAATATATTTAATTTTAAAATTTTTAATACGAAGTTTATATAAAATTTTGTTTCAGGATATCTATGTTATTATTTTTGCTCTTATCAAACTTAGAAATATTCAATTTTCATGCGAATTTGAGTTAAAAATCCGAAAGAAACAGATTTTCTGCGGCTTTTTTTGTTGTTTCTGGTTTTCAACTAAAACCTCGTAGATAATTTTAAATCTGCATGTAAATCCGAAAAAAAATTATATTTATAAGATTCAAATTCCGCAGCTAAAATATTTTGAAATAAAAAAAATTAATTAAATCTGATTTATATCTAAAACCTAACTCAACATATTCCTAACTCATGGAATGAAATATTCTCATCGTTAATCTGGCTTCATATTATTAATAGAATATTTACAAGAAATCAGTCAAAGTAAATAGAATATGACCAAAAAAAATTAACAGTAGTCAATTTGTTACTTGTCTTTTCTAATACAACATTACTTCAAATTATTCTCCACAGCTCTTGATTGTGAATGAAAACAAAACAACATAATTTCAGGGCAAAGGTTCTTGTGAATCACCCAAACGCGACAAATGAAGATATGCATCAGTGCCTGGAAATATACAACAGGTGATCCCATCAAAATACTTGATTGGAAAACATAAAAGTAAGTAAAACTAAGAAGTAATATTCGTCCAATGGGTTTCTGGCAGTACTGTACAGATATGTAAAGATACAAAAGAAATAAACTCATCTCACTAATTGCAGCACCATAGTTGAGGTAATTACTGGAACTATTACCAGGTACATAATATGAAGATGCTGATAAATTCACAGCTTGCGTGTATGCCTGTAAATTAATGAAATATCAGAAACATGGTAATTAAGTATTGAATAGAAGCTATTTTATTTTACACTAGTAGTACCTCAGGAATAAGATCCTCCCACTTGATAGAACTCTTTTCCTCTTGAAGCTTCTTCTTGATAGGTTTTAGTCTTTCAACAAAGATATTGCAGCTAAGCTAACAGCTTCACTGCTTGCCTCGGATGTAGTGCTATCAGCAGTAGCTCTCCCTTGAATCAAGCTCAATGTATCAGCTTGTAGAACTCTTACTTTATCCAAGAGACTTCCATTTCCATCGCATTGAATTGTACCGAGTGCAAACGCATGTGAGCAACTCCTTCATATAATTGTTTTGAATGATAACAAATATATATGTGAAATAATCAATGAATGTTACCTATATGTGTGTATTGTAAAAATCTAGTATAATATGTTTAAAATGAGTTAAAAATGTGTGTTACACATAAAACACTGTTATGAGTCGACACAAACAGCTTTGCATTGACACATACTTAAGCAAAGAATCATAAAAACGATTATACTTCAGTATGAGTCGACACATCCATGTTATGCATCGACTTATAACATGTTGATACCCCTGGAATGCAACATTTAACCTTTATGCATCGATACATAACTTCATGCATCGACACATAACATTTTGATACCCCTGGAATGAAACCTTTAACCTTTACGCATTGATACATAACTTCATGCATCAACACATGATATGTTGATGTCTCTGGAAAACATTTTTGAACTTTTATGCATCGATACAAAACATCATGCATCGACTCATAACACGTTTTGTCTTCAAAAATCAAAAGTTCAACCCAATATGTGTCGACACATACGTGTTATGCATCGACTCATGTGAAATGGTTGGTTCTGTAATATGCTCTAACATCTGCTTGCATCGACTCATAACAACATGTATCGACTCATCATGTGTTACATAACTAACATGAGTCGACTCATGCTAACATGCATCGACTCATAACACGAATTTCGGTCTCTAACCGTTTTCTGTTACATATATAAGTAAGTTTTCTCAGCAGATATTAGCATGACACACTATATAACTGTGAGCATCAATTCTGAGCAGCAAGAAGCCTGAAAGATACTTCATCTTCATCATCTTCTCAATCATCTTCATTCAACAACAACAACGAAAATCAAACATATTTGTTCAATTTGATCAAGAGATAACGTTCATCTGTGCATTCAAGGGATCTCAGTTGGGTTGAAGATTGTGAAGGGGGCTTCGTGGAAAAACCAAGGGGTTTGTCCTTCAAGGACGGACGTGTTCTTGAGGGTTTGTTAGTCACGATCGCACAAGTCGGATTCAGCCGTAGCGAGGGGTTTGGAAATCAGAGGGATTTTTGCAAACAGGTCGTGGAAGTGGAGGATCGGTTGTGGATCTTGCATGGAATCTTGATAAGGCTCATATCAAGTGGAGGTTCTTACAAGAAGAAGAAGATCTTAGGGATTTCTGTCTGTCTGTGTATTGTAACCTTATATTCAAACATTTTGCAAAATTGTTATAAGAGTTCTTAATTTCAATTCTGGAATTGAGAGGGAGACGTAGCCACACGCGAAGACGGCAGTGGGGAACTTCCTTACCAAACTGTCTGCATATGGTTCTTTCTTTCTCTCTATCTCTTTACATTTTCCGCAATTTTGTGATTCAATTGGTTTGCTGAGTTTTCTGTTTAATGATAAAATAGTGGTTCAAATACTTTCATCAAATCACAATTATTAATCATCAAACAAGCATACGTCAACCGTTTGAAAAAATTACTTGCAAGTTTTTAATTCATTGGAAACATTGTTCTAGTGATACGTGCATTAAAAACGTTAAGTAATCTGTGTTTAAGATTCATCTATTTCATACTAATAAAATCCAGCAAGTTTATCGCATGTCTGGTTTTCTAGTAATCGGTTCAAAATAGACGGAAGTTGATTCAGGACCTTACTTTTCCGTAGTTTTTAACAAACTTTGATAAAAAAATTTAAATCTTTGAAAAATTCCCTCTCAATCACTTACCACACCGTCTAACAACCCAATCATTTATTTCAGCTTTGTCCTTAAACCTTAACTCAAGATACAACAAGGATTTGTGTTTTACAGTAATTTGTGTACTGCGAGTGCACAAGATACAACACCCTGCAACTCACGTGACACGACACACACAATGGAGAGGTTAAAGCATATAGTACAGTTGAATAATTTAGAATGATCAACTTGCATTACACAAAGGGGATATATATATATATATATATATATATATATATATATATATATATATATATATATATATATATATATATATATTGCAGAGAATTTCTCCAAATAAGAAGAAAATAAAAAGGTAAGGAAGTTGTATCAATGATATTAGAATTAAATAGACATTAATTCTAAATATAACTCTTCCAAAACCTCCACCAACTCTTCTTGTAATTACTCTAAATTATTTTACACATATCAATAATGTATTTAAGAATTGTCATTCAAATTAGATGGAACTCGTGTCTGCATACTTAAAATATACGAGCTGCTTATCACATACTACACCAACTTGCTTTAATTTTAACTCGATTTTAAATCTTATGATTACCAATCTTAGTATAAAAATATAGGTGCTATTGTAAAGAATAAAGTAAGAAACTAGACACAACTTTTTATGATATAGAAATGAATAGCTGCAAAATAAAGGAAAAATAATTCATGTAAGTAAGATCTAAGAAGTATGTAACTTAGAGAAAAGTGAATTCAGGATCCCATAAATATTGATATAGTCCGAAAAAGTTCCATTGTTCTTTGCATCTTTAGGAACAGTAGCATAACTATTATCAAAAAAGTAAAAGAAATGAGTTAGTATACAAAATTAGATTGAGTTTTGTGCTTAATAATACAATTGATGGAAAATTTCTCACTCACCTCACCTAACATGAACATACAATTTTGGACAATAATGCCCTAGGCCTCACCCAAAACAGTAAAAGAACAAACACTGTTTAGGGTAATTAAATTCTCATGATGTGCCATGTAAAAATAAAATAAAAAAGAAAATAAGAAAAATATACTTCTAACAACTTTATCTACTTTTGCATCAACTACCACTAATTCGAAATACAATAGTTAGGATTCCAAATACATAAAATATTACTCCAAAAGAGGTTCTTCCAAAAATATAACTTTGGAAAGGCCTGCTGCATGAACATACTGCAGTTTAGTTATAAAAGCATAACCTGATGTTAGACATATAGTTATAAGGCATTGATTAATTGACATGGGCTTGTATGCAAGGCATCAATATGTATAGAACATGAAATGCCAAGTCAGTGCTGCATTTGAAAGGGAATATGTGCTAGCAGGCTAATGTCTCGGTCTTGGTTCACTAAAAAGTTCTCAATAAACATTAGAAATGTGAAACCATTGGTATTTTATGGATCATCATATAGTACATAAAAATAAAATTGACAGTGAGTATGCACAAACCACATCAAGACTAACATATAAACTTCTGCAAATTAAAATTGATCAAATGTTACACACACATATCTAAATGAATAATAAATCGATCCTTGAAGCACCTTAACTCAGAGTAGCGGCTTGTTAAGATGAACTTTTACGCAACCAAACAAGAAATAATGCTTTCTCAACAAACAATATCTATTTGTAAACATGTTACAACAATTATAAACGAGTTATATTCAAAATCAACATATGTATACTAGTTGTGGCATTTCAACAAACACCTTGTTTGCAAAACTCAAGCCAATCCAAAAAGAGTAATTCTCATCAACAGTATCAACAGAAACAGGTCAAGAATAGAAATTTATGAAGCACTGACACACGAACACGATACCGACAATGGCGCACCTTTTAGAAGCGTGAGGTCTTTTTCACTAATCGGAGAACGAAGAAGAAAAAGTGGAACCCTTTCTCATAATTTCCTTTCACTATATAATGAAAAGCCATTAACATTTCATTCTACTTCTTCTTTATAACTAACCACTCTCTCTCTTTTCTCTCTTGTTGAGAGATTTTCATTTTCTCAAATTACCACCATAGCCATGATGCTCATTTACCACCTGGTTTTCGTTTCCATCCTACTGATGGAGAACTCATCACGTTCTATCTTCTCAAGAAAGTTCTTGAGAACACTTTAACTGCAAAAGCCATAGCTGAAGGTGTATTATTGATAGTAAAGGATAATAGAAGTAGTAGAGGGTTTTCTCTAACTACTCTCAAACAAACATCTCACTCAGAAATAAGAAAATAATGGCTCACATAGGAAGGGCTGTAGTGTGTGATAACAGGTGTGACTGCACAGTTCCTTGTGCAGGTGGTTCCACTTGCAGGTTCTTTTCAACTTCTTCTTCTTGATCTCATATTATTTAACCGTTCTAGTATTTTTAATAAAATACTAATTAATACAGATGCACAAGTAGTGAGGGTGAAGTAAGACACTATTTTTCATTTTTTTTATACATAATTTAGAGTGCAGTAAGTGATAACTTGTTAATATAAATGAAGATAATCAAAGTTGACAGTTAATATGGACAAATCACATCAAGACTAAAGGATAAATTTCTACAAATTAAAATTGATAAAACGTTACATACACATCTAAATGAATAATAAATCAATCCATGAAGTACTTTGACTTAAGATGAACTTTTACCCAACCAAACAAGAAATAATGCATTCTCAACAAATAATATCTATTTGTAGACGTGTTACAACAATTATAAACGAGTTATACTCAAAATCAACATATGTATACTAGTTGTGGCATTTCAACAAACACCTTGTTTGCAAAACTCAAGTCAATCCGAAAAGAGTAATTCTCATCAACAGTATCAACAGAAACAAGTCAAGAATAGAAATTTATGAAGCACTGACACATGAACACGATACCGACAATGATGCACCTTTTAGAAGCGTGAGGTCTTTTTCACTGATCGGAGAATGAAGAAGAAAAAGTGGAACCCTTTCTCATAATTTCCTTTCACTATATAATGAAAAGCCATTAACATTTCATTATACTTCTTCTTTATAACTAACCACTCTCTCTCTTTTCTCTCTTGTTGAGAGATTTTCATTTTCTCAAATTACCACCATAGCCATGATGCTCATTTACCACCTGGTTTTCGTTTCCATCCTACTGATGGAGAACTCATCACATTTTATCTTCTCAAGAAAGTTCTTGACAACACTTTCACTGTAAGAGCCATAGCTGAAGGTGTATTATTGATAGTAAAGGATAATAGCAATAGTAGAGGGTTTTCTCTAACTACTCTCAAACAAACATCTCAAAAAAAATAAGAAAATAATGGCTCACACAGGAAAGGCTGTAGTGTGTGATAACAGGTGTGACTGCACTGTTCCTTGTGCAGGTGGTGTAACACCCGTAATTTAATTAATTATTTAATTAAATTATTTTTGGAATATTTGTGAAGAAATGTTATTATAATTGGATTTATTTTATTAAATAGAGAAATAATAATATATTAGAGGTATAATATTATTATTTGGTGAAATAATATTAGAAGTTAATATTATTTAATGTGGGCCTATAGTGTGTGAGTGGAAGTAATAAGGAGGGTTTAAGTTTGGAGCCCACTAAGGAATAATATAATAACATTAGGTTATTTTATTATTTGTGAGAAGGTAGAAGGAGGAAGCAGTAAGAAGAGAAAATAAGGATTGTGAAGAACGTGAAGTTGCTGGAAAAAGTGGAAAACGACAAGAACGAAGATTCAACCCGGAAATTATAGAGCGACCTTCGATCCAAAGTAAGGGTGAGGTTCTGGCTTTATAATTGGGTTCATGATGTTTGATATATGAGGTTAGATGTAATTGTTGTTTGTTCTTGAATTAGATGTGTTATGAATGATGTATGGTGAATATTGATGAATTCTGGATGAATAATGATGTTATTATGTTGTCTAATTGATGGAGTAATAGATTATAATGTTAAGTGATGAATTATCATGGTTATGATGAGGTTGTTAGGGCTGTAGTATGATTCCCATAGTGAATTACAGTAGAAAACACAGAAAATTATGCAGACTGTCGAAGGATGTGTCGACCCCAAACTAGATGTGTCGATACATGAAGGTTGTTCGACTCAGGATGAGTCGATGCATGCAGGGCTTGCGTCGATACATGAAGGATGTTCAACTCAGGATGAGTCGATGCATGCAGGGCTTGCATCGATACATGTTGTATTTTGAAGTCAGGATGAGTCGATCGGTAAGTGCATGTGTCGATACATGCTGTGATTTGAAAGCAGGATGAGTCGATCCATGAGGAGGATGTGTCGACTCATGATGTGCAATAGAAGCATTACGCGTCGATCCATAGAGTTACGTGTCGACCTATACTGACTAATTTCGACATAATCAGTTTTGAATTGTTGTAACTTGAGTTGTAGGATGCTGTTTGAGATGCCGTTCGAAGCGTTGATTAGCTAACACAATGAACTTTATTCTAGATTATTTAGAATGATGATGAAGAGGTGTAATACTAGTAACCAATCTAAGATTTAGGATTAATTCCCGTAAATGACCGTTGTGCTGTTTTTGGGACAGATTGATGAATATGAGATATTAGAGGCTGCTGTTAGAATTATGACAGTAGGATTTAGTAACAGTAATGATGTACAGTAGCAGAATAACAATATGGATTATTATACTATTAATATACAATTGAGTATTAGTGAGATGTTATTGATGAAGATGTGTTCGATGATTTTGTGATAATAAATGATGTTTAATAAATTATTTTGATGTTTTGAGATGTTGTTAATTGAGATGTTTATGAGATATTGTTATTTTGATATGATTGAGATGTTGTCGTTCCGAGATGTTTATGAGATGTTGTTATTCTGAGATGTTTATGAGATGTTGTGTTTTGAGATGATTGAGATGTTGATATTACATTCATGAAGAGTCGCATACATTGCATTTTTTAGATGGAGCTTATGCTCGTTGAGATGGCCTGGATTGGCAAATTTTGAGATGAAGGCTATGCCTTGTTGATGCCTCTATTAATTGGCAGATTTTTGAGATGGGAGTTCTGCTTCAATGGTACCACATGCATTTGCATAGTTTTGAGTCGCATTATATGATTGAGTAATGAAGTGTATTTGATGTTGATGAATGAGTATATATGCTTTAATTATTGTTGATTATGAGATGAGAAGTGGTGACATTATTGATCTGATTTAATATATTAATTATCATGCGCTTTATTATATTGTTAGATATCTCACCCCTTCTGTTTAAATGTTCCCCTTATGTTGGTAACGTGCAGGTAATCACGAATGAAGGTTGTATAACTTCAATAGTTCGAGTCGGTGTCATTGCTCTGATATGTAACACTCGGGGGGATGAACGCTTGCTGATTTTTGATTTCTAATTTTTAGTTGTTGAACCTAAAATTGTTTATTTACTAAATATGAGATGTTTTAAAGTTGTTGCTTTTATTTAAAGATGTTATTGAAGAATTCCGCTGCGTAGTTGTTGAATTATTTAATGAAAGATGTTATGTTGATGGTTCATCCGATGTTTTGAAAAAGTGTTATATATCCATGATGAATGCAATGAATTTATTAGAAGAATTTGTGACGTCCCGATTCATCTGTATGATTGAAATTTTATAACTCTGATTTATTTTGCATAATTTGCTTGGGGTAGAATTGGGGTGTTACAAAGTTGGTATCAGAGCAAAAGGTTGGTCCGACCTTATCGTTGAGTCTTAGTTGTCTAACAATCGAGTATTGTCATTTTGAGTTCTAACAGTTGTTTGTGTTGTAGTGATAAGTTGAGATGGCTGGAAGGAATGATGTTGCTCTTGCTGCTGCTTTAGAAGCAATGGCTCATGCGATGGAAAATCAGCCGAATATTGACGGGAATGCTGGATCTCGTAGCTTGGCGACTTTCCAGAGAGAGAATCCACCTACGTTCAAGGGAAAGTATGATCCTGACGGAGCATTGGAATGGTTGAAAGAGATTGAGAAGATCTTTCGCGTGATGGACTGCACTCCAGCGCAGAAGGTTCGTTATGGGACTCATATGCTAGCAGTCGAGGCTGCGCAGAAGGTTCGTTATGGGACTCATATGCTAGCAGTCGAGGCTGATGAATGGTGGCTAGAGACTTTCCAGAAGTTAGAAGTTGCAAGTGAGAATGTCACTTGGGTTGTGTTCCGTAGGGAGTTTTTGAGAAAGTATTTTCCTGAAGATGTCCATGGTAAGAAGGAAATTGAGTTCCTTGAGCTGAAGTAAGGAAGTATGTCTGTTGTTGAGTATGCTGCCAAGTTTGCTGAGTTGGCCAAGTTTTATCCGCATTACGCTAAGGAAAATGCTGAGTTTTCGAAGTGTATTAAGTTTGAGAATGGGTTGCGCCCGGAAATTAAGAAGGCAGTTGGATATCAGAAAATTCGTGTCTTCGCTGATTTGGTTGATAGCTATAGGATTTATGAGGAAGACAATAATTCTCATTACAAGATTATTAGTGAGAAGAGGGGTAAGCACCCACAGAATCGTGGTAAACCTTATGATGCCCCAGCTGGTAAGGGTAAGCAGAGAGTTGCTCGTGGTCAGAGGACTAGTGGGGGAGATGCTCCTGCTGGTGTGATTTGTTTTAAGTGTGGGAAACCTGGACACAAGAGTAATGTGTGCACTGCTAAAGTGAAGAGATGTTACCGTTGTGGTAAGAACGGACATGTTGTATCTGAGTGTGAGCACAAGAGTGTGGTTTGTTTCAACTATAAAGAGGAAGGGCACATTGGTAGTCAGTGTCTGAAACCGAAGAGGGCTCAGTCAAGTGGTAAAGTGTTTGCTTTGGTTGAGGATCAGACAGCTGCTGAAGACAGACTTATTAGAGGTATATGTTTCATCAATAGTACTCCTTTAATTACTATTATCGATACTGGTGTTACGCGTTGTTTTATTGTTGCTGATTGTGTTGAAAGATTGGGTCTTGTGTTGTCTTCTTTGAATGGAGAAATGGTTGTTGATACTCCAGCCAAGGGATTGATGATTACTTCTTTTATGTGTGCTAAGTGTCCCTTGTCGATCTTCGACAGAGACTTTGTTGTTGATTTGGTTTGCTTGCAGTTAAGAGGTTTGGATGTGATTCTTGGTATGAACTGGTTAGAGCATAACTGTGTTCATATTAATTGTTATGACAAGTCAGTGAAGTTTTCTACTCCTGAAGAAGAGGAAGATGGTATGATGTCTGCTAGACAGTTGAGAAAATTGATGCAAGAGGAAGAGGCACATATGTTCTTGTTAATGGCGTCGCTATCTGTAGAGACTCAAGCGATAATTGAGGAATTGCCGGTGGTATGTGAATTTCCTGAAGTTTTCCCTGATGAGATTCCTGATGTACCGCCAGAGAGGGAAGTTGAATTTTCAATTGATCTTGTACCTGGTACCAGACCTGTGTCTATGGCACCATACAGGATGTCTGCGTCTGAGTTGTCAGAGTTGAAGAAGCAATTGGAAGAGTTACTTGAGAAGAGGTTTGTAAGACCAAGTGTATCACCGTGGGGAGCTCCAATGTTGTTAGTGAAGAAGAAAGATGGAAGTATGAGACTTTGTGTTGATTATAGATAGTTGAACAAGGTGACGATTAAGAACAAGTATCCACTTCCAAGAATAGATGACTTGATGGACCAATTGGTGGATGCCCGTGTGTTTAGCAAGATTAATTTGAGGCCGGGTTACCATCAGATTAAAGTGAAAGATGAAGATATTCAGAAGACGGCTTTCAGAACATGTTATGGACATTACGAGTATTCGGTGATGCCTTTTGGTGTTACTAATGTGCCGGGAGTATTCATGGAATATATGAATCGTATCTTTCATACTTATTTGGATCGGTTTGTAGTGGTGTTCATTGATGATATTTTGATTTACTCTAAGACAGAAGAAGAGCATGTTGAACATTTAAGAGTAGTATTGCAGATTCTGAAAGAGAAGAAGTTGTATGCAAAGCTGTCCAAGTGTGAATTTTGGTTAAAAGAGGTTAGTTTTCTTGGTCATGTGATTTCAGGTAGTGGCATTGTTGTAGATCCATTGAAGGTTGATGTTGTGTTGCAATGGGAAACTCCAAAGTCAGCTATTGAGATTAGAAGCTTCTTGAGATTAGCTAGTTATTATAGAAGGTTTATTGAAGGGTTTTCTAAGTTGTCACTTCCGTTGACTAAGCTTACTTGTAAAGGTAGAGCTTTTGTTTGGGATGTTCAATGCGAAGAAAGTTTTACGGAATTAAAGAAGAGGTTGACGTCGGCTCCAATTTTGACGTTGCCTAATATA